GCCTAAATGTCTACACTGCAACGTTTAGCCCCAGAGCCTGAGCTCCATGAGTTTAAGTCAATTGACCCAGGCTCTGAGACTCTCTCATTGCAGTGCTGGTGTACCAGTGTTTCCAAACCCACACCTGATCACACACACTGAATTGTGAACCTGAGTTTACAATTGCTAGACCCAGTTCTCACAGTGCTGCTAACTCAGCCATAGTGCACTATGTAGACCAGTAGGTCTCAAACTTTTTTTACTGGTGACCCCTTTCACATAGCAAGCCTCTGAGTGCGTATAAATTAAACACACTTTTAAATATATTTAACACCATTATAAATGCTGGAGGCAAGCAGGATTTGGGGTGGAGGTTGACAGCTCACAATCCCCTATTTAATAACCTCGCTACCCCCTTAGGGGTCCCAACCCCCCAGTTTGAGAACCCCTGATGTAGACCTTGTAATTCAGGCCTGCAAAGTGACAGGGCTTGGACCCAATTCACAAGGGGACTCAGGCTCTGACCCACCCCTAAGCAGGCACCGGGACTGCAGGTCCTGAGTCAGAGTGATTTACGTGTAGATAGAAGGGAGGGCTTGGAGATCTCTCCCAGGGAGGTCAAACCGGAGTCAGAGCCAGGGCTCCGTGTGGACATACCCAACGGGGCCCGGCTATCACGCCGCTTACCAGAGGTGCTGCTGGCCAGCTCCCCATGCCCACAGGCGGGACGGTGGGTCTCTGAGCACAGCCCTGCCCCGGCCCACAGGAGCACTGGACGCAGCGGCAGCGGACAGAGCCAGGGGGCACCGGCCGGCCCGGCCCGGTCCGGCTCCCATCCCAGGGCACCGCGCCGCCCCAGCAGCAGGCGGAGCCCGCGCGGCGCGAGTCACTCACCAGGAAGCGCGTGGAGCTGGTGCCCTGGTCGATCGCGCCCACCAGCGGCCCCAGCACCACTCGGTCGGACGCAGCCATGGGAGCCGCTCGCGAGCCGCGTCTCCTAGGCGACCCTGGCCGGGGGCTGCAGGGCAAAACGCTCTCCGGCGTCTTCAGCGCGCTCTCTGCCTGCGTACGTACCCGGCGCGTGGCTCCCGTCCGGGCTCAGGGGGCGGGGAGAGGGAAGGGGGCGCCGGCCGACACGCTGCGCCGCCGCGGCCAATCAGCGCGCGGGGCGCGGAGGGGGCGAGGCGCAGGATACGGGCAACGGGCCAACGTTCGAGGTGGGGCTGAGCCTGCGCCTGCGGGCGGTCACGTATTGCAAACAGCTGGCGCTGGGAGTGGGTTGTCCCAGGTCCGCTGATGGCGGAGCCCAGACGTGAACCCGAAGGGGAGGGAGAGGGGAAATGCAGGAAATGTGCGATAGTTCTCTCCCGTGACGAAGAAAACTCCCTCAGTCCTTGCCTATTTCTCTCTCTGGCAAAGCAGCCCTCAGCCCTTTCTCTTCAAAGAGCTGTGCTAACCTGGTTAGGATTCAAGCCAAGAAGACTTTCAAACAAATATATTCCCGACAAAGTTTTTCTCCCTTGCGGATTGTGCTCCAGGAAGCTGATGCCATCCTTGCTTCCTTGCCACCCTCTTAATTTGCTTTTCATGTGGATTCAGGTACAAATGAACTTCCGTTGTCTACAGCACTGGCTTGCTTGATTTACAGTGGAAACAAAGGCAAACCCACATTTGTTTGTCTAGAATAAACTTGTTTATCAACTGCCTTCACACCATGTGTTAAGAGCATATTACCAGCATACATACATAACTCTTTGTACACAACCCATACACATATCACACAATGACTTCCATGACAAGTGGCTCACCAGTTTTTATATGATATACCTTATATAATGCTGTTTGGCTAAATATTCTGACAACAGTTTGTTGGGTTTGCCAGTTGGCATAAAGGGGCTCTTAGGGTCACAGGGACCAAGAACATTTGCTCCTGATGCTTGTAGAATTTGATATTTCAGATGAATAAGTTGTGTATGGAGCTTTTAAATTCTCCAGCGCAGCTGCCATTTGAGCCTGCCAGAGGGGATAGCTAATGTTATGTTCTCAGCATACACACAGAGAAGTTAGAGTATTTTATGTTTTTCTTTTTCTGGAAGGTTGCAACATAATGTTACTTTCTTAGAATCCAGAACTCTAACACACAAGAACCAAAACCAGAGACACACAAAGCAGGCAGAAAGGCACAGCTCAATCCACATTGATCTAGGCTGGCTCCTTTCAGGCTGATTCAGATCACATGCTTCCCTTCAGAGTCCCCTAGCCTGCAAACAGGACCAGAAAATCCCTTACAAATTAAAGTGAGAGCTTTTAGTTTTAACACAATTTTCAATACACCACAGCTAAAATCTGAGGAGGCAAAGAAAGTCTAGCCAAAAATGGTGATGCCCTGACAGTACCCGGAAGTTATTTAAAGTTATTTAAATAACCCTGCACATTTGTATTGTAATATAACACATGATACTTATTTGAAGAAGTCTCTTCTTCAGCACAGTCAGGTTGGCTCTCCACCTGTGATTCAGGGATCTCCTGGGTCTTTGGTACTGTCTCTGCTTTACTTTTTAGTGAGTTGAAGAGATCCTCGGCGTCTTGGTCAATCTCCTTCTGCTAGGTATCCTGGTTCGTGTCCCCGGGGGCATCCTCAGTGAAGTCCACAACATGCCAGGGTTTGATGGTGGCCTTCCTTTCAAAAATACAGCACAACTCCTCATAGTGGATGCTGGTCATACAAGGTCTGCCAGAGGTCCTGTTATTGTCCCTAATATTTTCGTACCCTAGCAGAGCTCCTTTCCTATGTTGCAGCAGTGGACCGAGTTCCAGGAGCAGATGCCAGAGGCAGAGCAGTTTAATTATAATGGGAATGTGTCCACACCTACCTTATTGTGGGAAAACGTATCCCAAATGTTGGTAACTTGCTTCCAAAATTGATTAATTAAAGGAGGGTGAGACATCAGTTAATTTGAAAAAAAAACTTTTGTATGTGGAACCAAAACAGTTTATCCCTCCAAAAATCAAATTGATCTGAAACAACTGTCAAGTCTAGTCAAACCCTGACTGACAGTCAAGATACTGGTGTTGTCCACAGTGATTGAGACAGGAGATAGTGGGAAGGATTTTGTGGGGGGAGATTAAAGGCTTGTCTACACAGCTCTGCAGTTTGGACTACAGGGCTGCGAATTGCAGTGCACACCAGAGTCCTGCACTGTAACTGCCCTGTGTGGATGGTATTAACATGAACTAAAACTAAAGGTACCTAGTTTGTGTTAACATACTCCTGTTCGAAGAGGACTGTGTTATAGGGTGACCAGATGTCCCGATTTTATAGGGACAGTCCTGATATTTGGGGCTTTTTTTAATATGGGCTCCTATTACCCCCCACCCAGATTTTTCACACTTGTTATCTGGTCACCCTACTGTGTTAATGCGAACTAAGTATCTTTTAGTTTGGGCCAGCAGCTTCTACATGGGTGAGGGATAGCTCAGTGGTTTAAGCATTGGCTTGCTAAACTCAGGGATGTGAGCTCAATCCTTGAGGGAGCCACTTAAGGATCTGGGGCAAAATCAGTACTTGGTCCTGCTAGTGAAGGCAAGGGGCTGGACTTGATGACCTTTCAGGGTCCCTTCTGGTTCTAGGAGATAGGTATATCTCCATGTATTATTATTACATGGGGGAAATACACCACAACACTTTGGTGCACACTTCAGTTCACACCCCTGTAATCTGCACTGTGGCATGGTGTAAACATACCGGTAGGTTCAGTTCCCTGCCTCAGAGCTCTCTTTTATCCATGTTGAGTTTGAACTGATGGCTAGACATCCGTGAGGAGAGTCAGGCCATGTTTTTAGTTTGGACAAAAGGAGACAGCAGCTTCCCATAACAAAAGGGACAGGACAGTTTGTTTTTGTGTGGGATGGAAGTAAATTTGAGTCTAAAATGAAGAATGTCTCTTATAGTGATCCTTATAGAGGAGAGTTGAGACACAAGGCAGCATGGAAATGGAAATGTTAGAGTGAGAATAAGTAAAATTGAATCATATCTGCTTGCAGCCTGTCAAGGCTGGATCCCCACTTTGAACTTTAGGGTTCAAATGTAGG